AATGCAAAATATTTCTCGAACACAGCTGGTTTTTTGAAAGTGAAAAAATAATTATAAGTTCTTTTTCAATTTTGTATTTATTTTGTTTAAGATAATTCATTTATTTATATTTAACAATGCCTGCAGCATGGGCCACAAATAGTATCCATATAATATATTAACATGTTAATCACCATACTAGTAGTTTTAAAAACTTTTCAAACTAAAATTTTTGTTTAATGAAATGGGAATTTATAAGTCAACGTTTAATTTTATTTTGATAATCTTCTGGGAACTTTATAGATAATAAAGTTTTTACATTAAATTAATGGTAATTGATACATTCATTTTTACTTTTAGACTAGAAATTATCTTTTATGTGTGTGAATCATATAACATATGACAGTTGAAATGTTACTATGAACAAATGAATTATAAATATTAAATTTTTCGAAGAATATACTTTTAACATAATAGAAACGAACAAATTTATTTAAATTTTCAAAAATATAAAATATGAGCAGAATATAATTGTAAATTATATTTAAATATCTTTGTAAATTACATTTAAAAAATGAATAAAACCACTAAAGACGGAACGCACACAAATTTCAGTTAACTAACACACACACAAGTATAGTAGAGATAGACGATCTCACGGTAAACTGATCATACAAATAAACACTGCGAAAGAGCAGGGTGGCTAGAATGAAAAGACACGATGAAATGTAACGAAAGTAGAGAAACAAGGACGACCATACGTATGTGAGTCTCGTGAAAGATCGTGAGGTGGTGTTGTAATGGTAAAAGAGAGGAGAAGGATAGAGAGAAACAGCAAACTAGAACTGGATGTCGTAAGATAATCATTGACTGCTTGTGTATGCTCTGACTTCGTTTCTCATCTCCCTTTAGGATCGTTGCACACGTACCTACGCTGTGTGAAGTTTCGTATCAAGTGTGTTCCGTTCGATGTTACGCGAGAAGTGTGATTGTGATACAAAATATTGATAACCAGGAGATTCTAGTTTATTTATTGAGGAACTATCGATAATACCGGTGGCAAAGAAACAGGTCCTGTCGGTCAACCATGGCGAATTCTGAAGACTTATACGATTGGTCCATGTTACTAATGGAATATGCTGAGCGTTGGGCATCTTCCGGTGAGTCTTTATCTCCTTCTTTAAGTCTATCGCATGGCTGTTATTGCTTATGCAAACTTGAAATTATTAAAATTAAAGACCTTAAAGTTAGTATAACGTTAACAAACGTTTTCTAATTTTATGAATTTCAATTTTAGTTTTATAAAGGAAAAAATATATCTTCTCACAGTGCCTGATCCTTTTAATAAAAAATATGTATAACGTGCAATATTTGAGAAACATAAACAACGTAACCCTTATTTTTATTGTACATTATAATATATACCTTCTTTTGTATAATATTAATGTTTATAATAACATACTTACAATAACGACACTTCTAACGTTATGTTTGTATAATAATATAATATTATATAAGTGCGCATTTCACCGATCTCGATGATTTTTGAATATATTGCTGGGAACATCATTTCAAGCAATCCTTCCTTGTACACGTAACCCCCGCTCGATCTTAATTTCGGAGATACTCAGAAGAAATAATTAGTGCTAATATATTGAATTTTATTTATGTACAGGGTTATTTACACAGTTGTTACAAGTCATATTTTTTTTGTATTTGAAGTTAGAAAAAAAATATTACCAGACAAAAGTGATAACATTTAGCATATATTCACAGTTACACTATTTTTCTGAGTTCGAGCCTAATCTACTTCGTTCTGTGGGTGACTCGAATCTTCTCTACATTTTGGGTAAAAAAGTATTAGAGCAACATGATCGAAAAATGATTATTTCGCGAGTTATTTTGAAAAAATATCTTCATTGAAGGAAATGCTCAAAGGTTTTTCTATCATACTCTAAACATTTCATACAACATTTTTTAATTGTAATGTATCGTAATTGTTTGCTAATAGTTGTATTTCTATATTCTTTACAGAAATATTATTAAAACTAGCTAGAATTATTATGAAAATTGCTTGCAAAACTAACAGAGAAGCGATGAAAGAAGTTGTTCGTGCACGCTGTCCAGGCAGTAATAGTGGACATGGCGTAACACTTTCACACGCTGAATTAACCTTGTGTGAAATGGATGTGATGAAAAAAGGCTTCTCCTTTTCTCGTTCGAAAGTGGACTGTATTTGTTGAATATTGAGTAAAAGGAATGTATATATGTTCACAAAGTTAAAGTGTGTATGTTGTCCAGTGAGTACAGCGTGATTAGTAATGAACTTGTGATATATGTCTGTCTGTTTCGTCTCTCAATGTCTTTCTATATATATAAAAATACTGAGATAGGGCGGTGTCCTTAGTGACAAATCAGAAGGCTAAAACGCTCGGGATGTTGCTAGATATAGTTTTTTAACCTACGCCCACATTACTAGTAGTGGAGGTAGGGAGTACGTTGTCCCTTCTGACCTGCAAAGCTACCGGTGGCTGTGGGCTCGGGGTTTAGGTCGTTGAGCTGCCATTTTTTTATGATATGTATCTTAAACAAATAAACCGTGCCGGAACAGAAGTATTTGCATAATATGTAGCTTCGTAATAGGGTGTTGAAAATTTCCTTCAATATAGACATTTTGCCTTTCTTGCGAAATATCCATTTTTTGATTATCTTACCCTAATACCTTTTTTACACAAACTAAAGAAGGGATTCAACTCATACAAAGAAAGAGATAGATTCCAATTTAAAAAAATGGTGTATCAAATAATGTAAAAAATCTGTGATCATGAACATACACAAAAAGTTACGTCATTCATTTTTGTTCAGTAATATTTTTTTCTAACTTCAAATATACAAAAGATATAGCTTGTAACGATTGGGCAAATTATTACGTAATGTTCGTTTAAATTCCACAATTTCGGGTCCCTTAAGTGGAATTTAAAAACAGGAGGAAGCTATTTCCTCTCAGGTATTGACTCGAACACAGCCTGGTAAAGACAGAGACTCGATATAGTGAGTGGAAGCGGGATAGACGCAGTCCGTCGAAAATCGCGGGTGGAAACGCGAGACTTCAAAGCGATACTGCATGCGTCAAATACAAACATGCAATGAAGAAAATTTCAATTACAGTAATTTTAATTCTACCTTCTCAAATATAGTGCCAGTGAATTTCAGAGATTGGTCTGATTGAAATTAGTCCAAACACGATGGAAATCGGACTAGTTTTACCGACTTAATGTAATTAACAATATTAAAGGTTCATTTCCTCCAAATCAATAAAACTAGACCGAGTTACGTTGTGTTTAACTCATTTTAATCAGAAAAATTTCAACAATCCAGCGGTACTACATTTGAGAAGATAAGGTTAAAATTACTGCAATTGAAATGTTCTTCATTGCATATATATATTTGAAGCGTGCGGCGTGGCTTTGAAGTCCTGCGCCTCGATGCTCGATGCTCGACAGACTACATTCATACTGTTTCTGCTGATTGTATTCATCTTCTGTTCCTCTCTACTGGGATCACTACACTAAGTTCGAAATAGTGAGTATTGGGAGAAGAGTAGGGCGAGTACTGTGGAATTTAGCCGAGCAAATTTTTGTGAAATTTAAGCGAGCATCACTGGAGGTATATGTTTACACGCTTTGGGAGGAATAGCCGCTTATTTGCTTTTTGCATGAATACATCGCGAGTATCGAAAATCCACAGGTATAACGTCTGAATTGTTTAAAATGAAAATTTTCATAAAATTTACGTATCTTGTAAAAACCGATGTTTTGAATGACTTTCTCCTTCAGAAAAAATAGTAGTGATCGGTATGGGTAGGCCTGGTTTTTACGTAATGGGAATGGTTTTACTTTATAATGCCTAAAAAAACGTTAGACTAATGCTGAAAGGGTTTTTGGCAATTATAAAGTGTGGTCAAGGACCTAGAGCATACCCACCCTGAACAAGCACACTCACTCATACCGATCTCTGTTATTTTTACATTTTTACGAAAGGAAAAAGTTACTAAAAGCATTAATTTTTACAAGAGATGTCAATTTTATGAAAACTAGTGTTATCGCCGTAGCTTGAAAGACGTGTACAGGATGTTTCAAAAACATGTTTCACAACTGCCACAACGTGATGCCATACCTTTCATTTGATAAAAAAGGATGTAAGAAAGCACTCACAAAATTCATCATAGCCTAGGAAAAGAAGGTTTCAAATTTTATATTATCACATCGTGTTTCACTCATTATGGAGGTCGACGGAAACGAATCCTGGATCGGAAATAAATAATTTGCTTGTTTGCTAGTTTGCTTTACCTCTGTAATGAAGTAGAATACAATGCAACAATAATAAATTTTAATCCTTTTATTCGAGGTTGGGATGAATTTTCCGAAAACTTCCTTTTCTTTTTTGTCGAATGAAAGGTATAGAATCACGCTGTGGTGTTTGTGATATATATTTTTGAAACATCCTATATATATTCAGTTTCACAACTTATCCCAAAATTATCAAAATCGGTTCGTCTATATATTTTTTTTTAAAAGTTAATTTACACCAATTACAAGGAAAAATTAACATTGTGTGATCGGTCGAATTAAGGAGACCAGTTTCCTAAGACGGACCACGGTTTTAAAGTGTCGAAAAAGCACTTTTCAAACTACAGAATGTATGACTTACCAAATATTTTAATCTTATTAACTGTGGAATTTTTTCTATCAGCATGTCTCTTAATAGTTGCGTTGCGAAGTCCATAAATACGGCTACATTCATTCAAACCATTTTCACTATTTTTATATGCTGGAATAACCTTCAACAAATCATAGTCGAACTAACATCCGTAGGGCCCTCTCTTCGTCTGTTTAAAGTAATTATCAAATTGTGAATTGAAATATTACAGGAAAATCAGGTCCTCCGCGAACTGATCTAACTTCATAAACCTTTACAAAAACTTAATTATGACGTTACGTTACGATCACTAGGTGATTCTTATAGAATTCCTGACCTTAAATACGAATCCGAAAACCAAATTGCTGGGTCACTTCCAGTTTTCCAAAAAGTTGGGTTTTTGTAAAAACGGTGGAATTTTTCAGACAACCAAGTGTTACGTGAAAACTAGAAAGG